CCACCCTATAGACTATTGACTACTGATACCGTTACGTACCGCTACTACTGTAGTAACTACTACTGGCAATTAATACAGCTCCTTGAACTTCTACTACTACTGTTGGCAATTAACTCATAATTCTGCACCTCACACACTACTGCAAGTAGTGCTGAAAAGTCATAATACCACTACTCGCATGACAATTAATACTATTACTGACAATCCATTGCTGCAACTCCAAAAATGACTACCGTATCTTAATAAGAGCTGTAGCAAAAGAAATTAGTCACAGAATTCAAGGACCATTTTAATGAATCTAAAGTATTTTGAACAGATCTTTCCTACTTCCTTTGATTGAGAAAAAAGTCAAAGTCAAAAAAGGAAAACAAAACAGTTGTATGGTCTGCACAGGATATGTATTGTTTAGTTGAATCCCAGTTTAGGCATTTCTTTACAGAAGGTGTTAATAACCTTCTAAGATTATTAATGACTTCTGGGGCCCTGGATTCAAGTCCTGGGGTGCTATCTGCTTGGCATTTGTATGATCTCCCCGTGTTCGCATGGGTTTCCTGCGCAAGGACATACAAAAAGCTAGAAACAATGCTAACAAAATGACTTGACCTTTTATGCACACGTTCTGTCATTTGAGCATACCCCTGTAAAACATTACATGTGATTATGACATCCTGTGCAGCAGTTACCAAACCTTCTATCCCTTGCGGAGCGGTGGCTCTGTGGCTCAGGATCTGGCCTGTGGCTGGAAGGTTGCTGGTTCAAATCCCGCAGCCAGCAGAGGAATCCTACTACGTTGGGCCCCTGAGCAAGGCCCTTAACCCCAGCTGCTCCAGGGGTGCTGTATAAATGGCCCTGCACCCTGAGCCCCAGCTTCTCTCCCTGTCTGTGTGTCTGTGAGTCTCACTGAGAGCAAGCTGGGGTATGTGAAAAGACAAATTGCTAATGCAAGAAATTGTATATGGCCAATAAAGTGATCTATCTGATCTAAAAAAAGATGGAAAGATTTGAAAGGATCCAGGGCACCTAGGGTGGAAGCTCTGAAGTACAGCACTGGAACACGGTAGCTGCAGGAGTAGACCACATGGTACTCGTAGCGAATTACTTCTGTCGTTTTTACGATCGCGTTTTCTGTATCGCCTTCACCCGGCTCCTCTTCAACAGGTGTCTGAAAGGAGAGGACAAGACGCATTTTACTCAGGTTTGTCCACCAACTCATTCTTCCATTCCAGAAGAATATTATCAGGTCTTTTTCTTCTTCTGGTCTTTTCTGTTCGGTATTCACAACACGTATGGTCACTTGCTTTGTCAACCTTGTCGTGAAAGGCGCTATATAAAAACAAACTCATTTGAATTTCAACTTTCGACAGGTGGGTATCAGCTGAGCCTAAGATGCAGAGAAATGGGTGCAAAAAACTGTGAATTACTTAAAAAAAAACAATTTCCATTGACCCTTTTTCCTATAATAGTTTTTATTTGATGTTGTAGTTAAGGTCTCATTTATTATGGAAACTACTTTTAAAACCACAGAAACAATCTCCATTGGCATTGTACATTATATAAAAGATACAAACCAGCTGACTGAGAGAGTATGTCTATGGATTTTCTTATACCACCTACCTTACAGCTGGAGGATGTACTGTTGACGTTTGGCTTACACTGCGAACAGAGCATTATATTGTCACCTAAAGGCATCCTTTTAATGTGATTTGACTTCATCAAGCTTAATGTGGTTAACAAAGATGTAACTCGTGCTGCCAGCTTTGTAAACTATCCTCCCAACACAACTGCCTATCAGATTAGCACTTTAAACAGGCTTGTCTGCTTCAAGGGATCTCAGTAGTGAATAAACACAGACTACCTTAATCAGCACAGTGTTAATCCCAGAACCCTTGATAAGATGAGAGCTGTCATCCTTGAGTATTCCCTCTGCTGAGCAAGTGACAATGTTTATTCTTATTATACTTTTTTATATATTTCCCTTTTGAAACGACACCAACAAGACCCACACACCCCCCCACCGGCACAAAGCGAAATTTAGGAGAAAGAATATAACTGCTGTACAGAAGACAGGTCAAACACCTTAACTACAGCTTATAAAAGATGTGCGTTTCTAAAATCTCACAGAGGAAAATGCAGAAACTGCCTGAAAAAAAACAAAATTCTGCAACCTATTTCCAAGTACATGTACAAGCTACAGGTCAAACTGATGTCAAGATCCGTCGTTCCAGTCTTCCTTTTTAAAGCTCACAACAACAAGCAACAACAACGTGAAATGCAGGCAACTTGAGAAAGCATTCACAATAACCATATTATTTTGACATTCAAGAGGGGAGCTGTGTTAGTGTGCTTTGGCTGCAAGTGAACAAGTAAAGGGTAATTCCACTCTGAAAAACAGAAACGAGGAACAGCATTTCAGATGTGTAGCCTTCCTCAGGTATGGCATCAATTGACCTCTACTTGTTCCTTTGCTAATAAACAAGACGCCTAACTGGAGCTCAACACTGAAATGTGAAATTCAGACTTTTTTATAGCTTTGTTAAGCATACGACTGCAGTGCACAAAGCGCTGTCCAGAAGTCCAGAAGTCCGAACCTAACCGCCTGCAGATTGTTTACACAGGTTGTGCAGATTTTAATTCCGGTCCTTCGGCTGCAGTCTGATTAATTGGCTGTCAAAAGTTATCATTAGAGGTCAAGTCTTGGCACACTGAAAATCCAGAATAGACAGATAAACAGGAAATTGTTTAATTGGCTGAGGTTTTGAGGTTATCCTCGTGGTACTACTTGGTTGCAGTTTTTGTTTAGCTGGTGCCTGTTATTACAAGAGACCAAACTGTGCGAATATAAGTCACATCCTTTTTTATTGACTCCCTGTTAGTCCTTCTAGGAAGACGTTCGAGTCCAATTATAGATTTCACATTCCCCTGTTCATCGGCCTTCTCAGTTTCCTGAGCTGGAAACACTCACTACCTGCAGGGCCTGCTTACTCATCTGATGGAAGCGATAAGATCTTCTTTAGACTTTTCAAGTGCCGTCTTGAGTAACAACTGCCGTTTCGTGCCCAATGTCTGACAGGAAAAACCCACCAATTTAAAACGATGACATACTGGGTACTGGCATCTCCATAGAGTGTTGCTGTTCACCAAGTCTCACTTTGCTCCATGTGCTTTTGTTTCACAATTACAGCCCAAACACAAAAAGGTATTGTTGGCTGGTTCATAGCAACATATTGCCACAAAGAAACAGATAAGAAAAAGACATTCGTAATTCTGGTGTCAAAGGGTCTTTAAACTATAAGGGTCCTACACATAGCATAAGACTGCGTAATTAATATTCTGCAACCTATTTCCAAGTACATGTACAAGCTACAGGTCAAACTGATGTCGAGTTGAGCAGAGGTTAGGGCCCTAATCTCCAGACCAGAAGGCCATAGGTTCAATTCCCAGATGAAGACCCTGGCGCTCTATCACTGAGCAAGATCCTGTACCCCCCTTAGCACCAGGAAACCAAGCTGTTGAAATGGGTACCAACATTTTTATGTAAAAAAAAAGGTAATTGCTAAGGTCTCACTCACATTGGAAAAAAACAGCTGAACTAACACCTCAAAAAAATAACTGACAAAAAATTACTCTTTAGAGTATGATCATAAGAAAGATTACAAACAAAGCAGCCATCTTGCATCTTTGGATGCAGACAGCAGTATTTGCAATGTTTTTATTTTATAAACAAGCATGGCGACAATCTAGTAAAAAAGAGTGCTTCAATTTTAATTATGACCATTAGGTATTATGCAATTATTAGATTGTTAAAGGTAACATTCAGTTTTTCTTATTAAATCAAGGTGCTACTTCATAGACACGTTTGTAATTGTGCTTTTTTCTACAGGACTAGTTCTTACAAGACTGGTGCCTGTTGCTCACCACTCTGGAGACATGTTTTCAGCGATCCATCTCAGTGCTTGCATGATTTTAATGAAACAAGCAACTCTGGCCAGCAGGAGTTTGACACACACAGTATATAAGGAGCTACAGTACAAACAAGAGGAGGACATTCTGCCCTTCTTGCTCTTAAGATGTAGTTTAAAAGCTAAGTGATTCTCTTTCTTGAAGGAGCCCAGAGGTTGGGTCTCAGCCACCTTGGCTGGAAAGTCTTTTTCAAACATCCAGAACTCTCTGTTTAAAAAAGTAGGTTTCCAATTCTCCGTCCTATATTTATTCCCATTTAGTCTCCAGTTGTGACTCTGTGTCCTGGTGTCACTACCTGACTGATAAATAACCTTCTGGATTCGGCCTTTTTTGTATCACATAAGATTTTATTTACTCGTATCAAAAGTCCCATCTCTTTTGCCCTGGACTGAAGAGATTCAGCACCTAAACCTGTTCATATACAGAATCACGCAGGCTGAAGGATCATTCCTGTTGTTCTCCTTTGAGCCGTTTCTAGGGCTACAATACCCATCCTGTGATATGGTGACCACAAGTGAAAACAAAATTCAAAAGGAGGTCTTACTCCAGCATTATAAAACTTCCCGAATGTGGTTTAAATTCCACATTTTTGCTGCACAGCCAAGCTTCCTGTTAGTTGTTTTCTTTGCTTCCTCACGTTGTCTTGATGAGAAGATAGAAAAATCTACACAAATACCTTTGTTCAGATAATTATATAATTCTAGCCTTCCTCACCCCTTTAGAACCTCAGGGTCCAATTCTAAAGTTTTCCAATACTGACAGCACCCGTTCCGTATTGAGGTCTTCTTTTGTGAAATTCCTTTGTGCCTTATTCAGTTCTCATGGTGACCATTTCATTTTCATCCTCTATTATTAATGCCCTACTATTTTATATGCAATTAGCGTGAGTTTTTACAGTTTTATTACTGTTATAGTATGCTCTGCATTAGTTTTGGCCTCAGTTGCAATGCTCCATTGTGCTTTCTCAGCCATCGCAAATTTTCTTTTTCTATCTTTGAATCTTAATCCCTGTTACACAGCCAATGGAGGGATCTCTTCATGATTTTTTAAAAATTTCTCCATAAACCATCAAAGGCATATGTTCTTGTGATTAAACTTATTTTAGTAAATTTTTGGTACCTTTCAACATTGTGCTTCTGATGTGTCACATTCCTTCTTCTACTAACCCCGAATTCATTTGTTACCCTAATACCGGATTCAAGCTTTAAAGATTTAGGGTAGAGAGAACTGTCACATCCAAACCACATGCACCAAACCTCTTCCTTTTCAGGGGGAGGCACAATCAAGATGGAGAACAGCAGAAGAAGCCCAGATAACGTAGGAAAATAGCAAGATAGAGGACAACAACCAGGCCAGGAAGACCAGCTCTGTCAAGGGTCAGACATAATTTTCACCCTCTGGAGTGGATGTCACATTGTCAAGAATCTCTGCAGTTCCTGCAGTTTAACCCTTACGGTTTCAGCTTTGAGGCATAAACATTGAAGAATGGATGCTACTTGCTTTAAGCTTGCTGTTAGTGTGGCCCTGTTGTTATTATGTTGTTGGTAGTGGGATTTCCTGATCCCACCAGAAATGGTTGGATAGGATCTCCCTACTCCCTGTTCCCTTCTTTCAAGACTTGTCAATCAAGTGTAACCTATCCTGCTTGTATTTGTCCCATTTGTTCCAGAAACCCATGAACCTATCCCCTCTTTGCTGCACCAGTCTTTACACTATCTTTAAAATCTCCCTGATCCCCCTAGTTCATTGTTACCACACACAACAGTCTTCATTTAATGTGAGAGTTCAGAAAGAGAAATTATTGGCATATGGCTATAATTATGTCTAGCAGCAAGTTGGAAGGTCTTTTGAGCCACTGTATGAGCTAACCTACAATTACAGTTTCAGTTTCATTTACAGACCAGTCATTTTCAGCACCTGATGTACTCATACTGTCAGGGAAACAAGAACCTGAGGACTATGCAGATGCAAAAATATCAACTGAGATCAGGGGGAACTTTTTTAGGCGTCGTCAAAGCCAGTACCCTGGAATCTTTCAAGAAGTGACGGGAAGAGATCCTCATTTTTGCAAGAACCAGATGCTTTCCCCTTTCGTCTTAGCAAAACCCTACATACTTTTTCAAAGTAAAAAAAAAATAATTAAAAACGAATCTACCTCTCTAACGTACTAAAAAAGAGGCGACTAAATCAGAATTCACATAA